AACGGGGCGAGAAAAACAGAGATAACTAAATTTGTCCAACGGAAACCCTACTACGAATAATGTGGATCATGCGGTTGAAACTTGCAGGTTTACAATTGTCAGACTTCACCGCAAAGACGAAGCGAAGCGAGTACTCGCGAACGAAGATCGCCAAGGGGAAATCATATTTAAAACGACCACGCTACTCGCCTTAATTAATTAATGGAATATAGCTTTAGCGTAATGTCCCGAAGGTAACACGTATAATTAACTTATAAGATGCGACCGAGCGAGAGAAAGAGACGAAGAAAGAGAGAGAGAGAGTGAGAGAGAGAGAGAGGGGGGGTAAGTCGTTACGTTAATTAATCGTTGTCGATTAAACGTTAAACGGAAAATCGATACCTCGAGTAACATAGACAAGATTGTTTGACATTCGATCGGTGGGTTCTCCGGTGGCAGCGAGATGATCGAATCGCACGAAAGAAAGCGTGTATTCCTCTTATTAGGTACAAATTTTTATCAGAATTATCCTCAACAAAGAATCCTCGCGAAGAACAGATCAATTTACGCGATCGTAAGTGAGAAGTCGAGAAGTGTCAGCGTTGTATCGATAATGAGAGAGATTGCGAAGCGTGGTGAGAAAAAGCTTTTTACCGGATTAGTTAACTGCGCCCATCGTAGCCTTATTCGAGCTCCGACACGCGAAGGAGCGACGTTTATACTTCCGCATGAGATCTAGAGCGTTGTAATTTTATTAATAGCACTTGATTCGAAGAAACGAATATTTTTTTCGATCACGTAGCGCGTCGTTCCTTCCGCTGAATTTTCCGCGCGTAGATGGATGCATTATATCGGCTTTCGTTAACGATAAATGCTCTTCAATTTGATATCATTACTTTCATAGCGTATCTCGCGTCCAATTCGCGCTCGGTTTGCCGGCTTTCGACGCGCGCGACCAACGAGACCGCATTGTTAACGACGAGATTCACGTTACATACCACATGCGTACAAAATCAATCGATACTCCCGACCTCCTTTTCTACGCATCTCGAACTTGTTGAAATGCATCGGGCGAGCATCGTACAAAATTATCGTATTATTAGATTGCGTATGCATAAAATTTAAATATAATCAGATTAAGAGAAGTACTGCCTTGGCTAAAAATAGTCAGGCACTTGTATTTTTTTCATTTATCTGGAATTCTTTTACCTGCATTGTTACTATATTGATTATTGGTATTATACATAAATTCAAAGGATTCTCGCGAATCATTTACAGTAAATATGCTAGAAATTCATTATTAAGCTAAAACTGTAAATGATGGTCAATAATGTGCCCAATATTTTTGGCCAAGGCTATACGTATGTAGATTTAAATTCGAAACTGACGCGCCCGATGTTAGCAACAAAGGATTTATTCGTGAATCTTTTACGCAGTTTTAGCTTTTCTTCTATGAAATTGTAAAATGAAAGCGGGTAAGTATATTTATTCAATAAGCGGAAGTTACTCAATGAATGGAGATCTTGTTGGAATTTTGTGAAATTTGTCCGTCTTAGTTTACAGAGATATACTTTTCCTACATTATAGCTCATCCGATAGGTCTCGAAGGATGATATACTATAGGCACGTAGATCTCTCTGTGTGTGTGAGTATTCGAGATGTGGATAAGTGTTCTTTCTCTTCCCATAGACTCGGCTATAGTTACTCTCTAAGGTACAATTGACTTGACCAATTAGGCAGCCCGTAAGTCGACTCCAACCGAAAACAAGCGCGAAGCTTTATTTAGTCGACTTACAGCTGCGAGTGGTAAGGATAAGCAAAAAAGAAAAAAGAAATGGTTAGTCGCGACGTGCACAATCATGTTCGCATTTTGTATCGAATAAATGACATTTTCTCCACGTCCTTGCACGATTTTTTTAGCCGTACGTACATCCACTCCCGAAATAAAACGGATATTGAAAAACCTACGAATATATTTTCGCACAGCCTACATTAATGCATCGACCCGCAAGATGAGAAATCGTTTGCTCCTATCGCCTCGAGCGAGAAATTGACTTAAACCAGATTTCCGTCATTAACGCCGTAGGCTGCGATTTGTCGATTATCACCCCCGGCGAAGTACTCTATCTTATTGGTTTGATCGATAACTCGTTAGTTGAATTTTCTCAGATATTAATCGCGCTTCGATATGGTTGGGTAGAAATATAATTCACAATGAGATGAATACGATACGAATCTATGCAAGCGCTTATTAGATTTTCGAGAAAATCTCATTGCATGTTGAAGTAATTTTGACGGGAACATTTTTGATTGCGGTTAAGAAAAACAATAAAATTTGTCTAAAATAAGAATAATAATAATAGTGACTTTATTGAAGTGCAGTACAAAGAAACGAAATTATACGGCAATAATTGTACACAACGCAAAATGAAAAAAGAGATGTACATTCAAAAGGAGAACAATAAAATGTTGCCTAAATCTGAACCTAAAAACTAAAGTTAAATAAATTGAAATCAATAAATGTAGTATAAGATATACGATGGTAACAATAAATGTTAATAATGTTAAAAGAAATAAACTGAAAGTTACATAGAAAGAAAATATAAATAAACAGAAAAAATATATTAAAAGATATATAAAATGCATAAAGGATAATTAAATTAAAGTAAGATATAAGTGATAAATATAAAATAATTAAATATAAAAAAAAAAAGTGCAAATTTGACATGTGTTAGACGTATTATTAATGCGTATTTGATGTTCAATTGACGTTTAATTGACGCAATATTTAATTGACATGACAGGTATTCGGAAAATAGGAAATATATCTTTATAATTAATATTGACCTTTTGTGTTTCTCGTACATTCTCTCGCGTTTTTTTTTCAATAACAAAGAAAGAATCAATATGTTATTCAATATCAATGATATTAAAAGCTCTTTGTTATTCGAAAGCTAATACAAGTTTGAGTTCAATAAAACTGAAACAAAGAGACGTGAATGAGTTTTTGTCGCTCGTTTGAAAGCAGCATGGCAACACACAAAAATAGGAAATACTCGAGATAATTGTGTTAAAAATACAGCGTCAAAGTACGCTAGGATTTTTTCAACTTGATGGAAAACTTAAAAATGTATATATTGCTTCGTATATATAAATATTTGTCTATTAAAAGGTTCAGCAAATCTTTAATATTAATATACTTTATGTATTACAATTTTCTCTAAAAGAACTACACTTTAAAGTAGCAAATTAACATTTATAAATAGAAGTGATGTTATTATAAAACTTTTGTATAAAACATTTTTTGATATCTTGAATAGTCTTTGAGATGTAAAAACAACTAACCGCTTTGATTCTATTCCTGAGGTGACTCTATCCCTTAAAACCTTTTTTTCACGTTTTTTCGCGAAACTGATGGTTTCTATTTATATGACATAGATGTACAAAAAATTTCATTAAAATCAGAATTTAACATTTTGAGAGGTCAAAACTTTTTTGTGAGTTCAAAACTGAAAATTGATGGTCAGATTCAAAAGGGAAAACATTTCTGAACATTAAAAAAAAATATAAAACATTTGCAGTGAAAATTTTAAGAAAAGGTAGCATTTACAGATCATATTAGGTACATATTACCCACAAAACGAGTAGGTCTTATTGAATGCTAAGTCATAAACAGTCTGGTTACTTTCTATTTAGTTTAATTTTATTTGTTTATATCAACTTCTTTATCTTGTTTTATTTAGTCATGATTTCTTAGCAATAGTTTCATTTAACTTGATTCTTGAGGAGGATAAATAGACTGGCGTAAGCATAAATATTAATTTTACTGACAACATGTACCATAAAATGGAAATTTCCCACGAGAGACTTTCAGTGAAAGACTTAATAAAACGGCTTTCCAACCTTTGCAATATAAAATTTACGCTTTCAAAAACGATTTACATGACTTGCAGAATCTTCGAAAAAGGAATCTACCACACACGTTAACAGTGTTTTCGATTTAGTAGAAGAGTGATAATTGCACTACGCGCGCATTCCACTCCGTCGTGGAATGTTTAATTAAACTCTGACGAGAAGTTGGAGAATTCCCGACACTATGCGACACACTGGAGATCTCTATACGTCACACAATTTGCATCTTTGTTAAGGCGATATTGGTTTTATTTATCCCGTGTTTATGCGCGTCTTTCTTTTCATTTTCAGAAAACTGCTATTACGGAAGAATCTGATATTAGAATATTGAAAACATCACTTATCTTTATACAAAGCATTTTTTAATATAGTTAGAAGAATTATTAAGAAGCACAGTAAAAAGCAAAAATGTGGAAATGATAAAAATCTTATTCGTGATTGTTATATCTGAGCACATGTCAATATACTATTAATAACAAATTTTCTACGAGATTAATGCAATTAAATGTAATTAATATTTATATATACAAACATAATATATTTCTGTTCACTAGAATAATTGTAAACCATCGAATAGTTAAATTATACAAAAATTAACATTAGGATATAAGATATTAAAGTATAAGAGTAAATAATCTACATAAAAATATATCTCTAAGACGCAAATTATCATATTAAAAAAAACGCATTAGAAATTTTTATGTCTTCTAAATTATGTTTTAAATTAAAAAAAATTCTTCGACATATACGTGAAGTTTATTTTTACACGAAATTATAAGATCTAAATTGTATAATTTTAAAAAAAGTTTTCACGTTTCCATATTTTTTCAAAGAAAAAGGTTTTCAAACGTTAATATCGCGTGACTTTGAATCATACATAAATATGCTAAAATTCAGATTATATGCATTTGGAGCTTCAACAGAGCATCGCGTTTCGACGAGGTAATGCGTATTTTCGCGCAATTTCCGCGTTTGACCCTTTTCCCTCATTTCAACAGAATAGGTGAATTGCTAAACCACCGGCAAATCACCCTCCGGCCAACGCGCATGCACGCCTTTACCCAACATCGACCTTTCCACTCCTAGTCATGCGCTTTGAGAGCGCAAGCGTGTTGGCCATTACGTGCGCTTCTTACAGAAATACGTCGGCAATCGTTCGCAACACAAAAAGTAGCCGCGCAACCGATAACGTTCCTCCGATTATTCTGTACGAAGATAAACGTGCGACTCTCTACGTTGGAGCAACTCGACGGCAGTCGTGAGCCAAGCGCGAGTCGTGAAGGCCATCGTTGAATGCGTGTGTGTCATGGTCTTCCTCTTATATAAGTGCCGTCATCACAGAATTACACGACAGTGTCAGTGCGTTCGTTCACCACGAAGCGAACAGTCGCATGGTAGATAAACGCTCTCTGCTGTATCGTGTAATTGAGACTTCCGCTGCCTACTCGATACAAAATTTACAGAGCTAAATGTAACAGTGTAAAGTGCAATGATTTTACTTATTTCTTTATTTACATTTGTATCAGCTCTACAGACTCAATGAGGTAATTATAACAAAAATATTTGTTAGAGAGGATCAATAAATTGATGTACTTATTTTTAAAAATTACATAATCGTAAGTTTTTTGAAAACAAGAATTGGTGTCACCAGAAATAAATTAAGAAATTGAATAAAAACACTTAAAGAATTGTATACTTTTCTAATATTTTTCTTAGTCAAATTCTTACGTAAATCAATATAGAAAATGAAACAAATCTTATTTGAAATATTCCCAAGTAGAATAATAAGTTATGATAACATCAAATAAATGACGTTAAATGAATCGTAAATGATTAAAAAGTAATAATTATTTTGATGTTATTCTGACGTCATGATGATTTATGTTCTACTTGATATATGTCATTTATGTGTTATAAAATTTTTTTCTTTTCTTTATATTCTCAAATAAAATATGTAATATAAAATACATAAAAAATACAAACATAAAAAAATTTAAGTAAAAAAATCTTGAGATGTAAGTAAATTAACATTTTGTATTTGCTATTGTCTACGTTATTGTCTTATGTTTTTTACTGATTGATCGACAGCGATTTGCTTCAGTTTTTTGTTGTGCTATAGCTTAAACAATATTCATGCTGACGCCTCATCATTTGCATATTGCACTTTCTCATTTCCATGTAATCATTTATGTAAATCTTGTTTGTACATATTAAAATAAAATAAAATAAAATGAAAAGCAAAATAAAATAAAATTAAGTATAAAAATAATTTTATTAATTATTGAAATTAATAATTCATTATTTCTCTCTCTCTCTTATATTTAATTAAATAATTATGTTACAATCAAATAAGGGATTTAAAAAATAATGTTCTGATTTGAAACATTACATATTTAGTTTTAGAAAACCTATTTTTTCAGAAAGATTGTTTTAAGAAAACTGTTTTATGAGTGCCATTGGATCGATTGAGATATTCTGCAATGACGTGTTATTGCAACGTGTTACTTGAATTGCGTTACCTGCGATAACGCGAATTTTATTACTTGAGATAACGAATATAACGTCGTGTTGTATTACACAATTCCTGAGGCCAATATAACTCGCGTTGGGAACGCCATAAAAATGAGTGGAAACGGACAGAATAGAAACATCTTTACGTACGACACGCTGGTGCACGCGATATCCGGTGCAGTGGTGAGTTTATATTTGATACGTCAGAAATCTTACACGTGTTACTTCATCGTTGTGGGATAACTTTGACATTTTAACATTTCAGGGTAGCGTCGTCGCGATGGCAGCCTTTTATCCTTTAGATACTGTGCGAAGCCGTTTACAATGTAAGCAGATTCGCGCCTGTCAGATACATGACAAATCAATTATGCACTCGTTTCCTCCGCGATGCATTGAAACGAGACATCGGCAAGCCGACCTTCAGTTTCATTAAATGCGATGTCACTCCTGGACAATATTCTGCTACTTTATTGTCACGATCTCGTTACCATTAAATGCTTGTATCGATAACATTACGCTAAATGCACATTATATTTGGTTATCATTTTAATTGTCGACGTTTACGCTATTTAAGCATACATTTTATATAATTTTTCATTCAGAATTTATCTAAATGCATTTGTCATCATAAGTTGATGCATAAATTCCGTAACAAATTTAACATACTGAGAGACAAAGGAATAAAGAAAGTAATGAAAGGAACAATTTTTTCAAGCGTACATAAAGCGAATTTTATGGACGTTTAAAAATGAATTTGCAATTTGTGCCACAATTCAAAATAGGAATCTAATATTTATAATGTTATGCGCCTTGTAAAACATTTAAAAAAAAATTAGAAGACAAACATAAAATATATAGATACGTATATTACAGTAGATAAATATGATAATTAGAAGTCATCCTGTATATTAAATATATTAAATGTTTATATTAAATATAAATTTATATATTTTTTTAAATTTATTTATATTTGTATATTTCAGGAAGGCAATAAATTTATTTTGTAAATTTTATAACGCGCGGTAAATAGAGATATGATTGCAATGCTTCATGAAGAATTAAAAAGAATGATATTGCTCAAGTTCAAAAATTAAGGCACGCGTTTTATTTTCTTATGATAATTACTTATACATAATTACTCAACTTTTATCTTTCACTTCATTCAGTAATCTCATTAACCAACCTGTTCTTCTGCTTACAGTGGAAGAAGGACGTCAATCAAAAAATACATTGGCTGTTATACGAGAACTCATTGCGAAAGAAGGACCGTACGTATACATTACGTATATACCTTAAATATGTATTTTCTCAAAGCGAGCCCTATATATGTCTTGAACAAATGAATGAAACGCGTCGTACAAACTACGACAAATATATTCAGAAACCAGTTTCTCCTTGGTTCACAGATTCTAGCATAAATAAATACGTTAACAAGGAATTACTCATGACATAATAACGCAGGTGTTGTAATATTCCCGTAAATATATTGCGCAGAATGAATTTGGGCCCATATTTGATTAGCTGTTTCCAGTATATGTTACCGCTTTATCCGCAACTTTACACCTATATATAAAAATGCATTTGGACTCAAATTTGATTGATTGTTTTTAATATTGTTATTGCCATTATGCGCAATGTTACATCTGTTTTCTTAAATCATGAAATTATTCCTTTTGCGTTATCATATTTTTAAAATACTCACATAACTTAATTATCTTCATTCATCTTTTTAAGATATACCCTGTACAGAGGTATCGTCCCTGTTCTACAAAGCTTATGTGCGAGTAACTTTGTTTATTTCTACACATTCCACGGCTTAAAAGAACTGAGAAGCAAAAGGAATCAAACAGCTGGTAGTGACTTGCTTCTCGCGTCAATCGCTGGTACGGCTTCTCGTCAACAGAATCAATGTTTCGCGTAATAAGATTCGATTTCTCTTTGCAAATAATCAGAGCACTGAAAGTTGTTTAATTACAAATGATTGGAAAAACATAGAAAATAACCAAAATAAAATAAGCAGTATTTAGAGACATATACGTTTCGATTTAAACATATATATTATATTTTAAAAGGATTTTAATCGGAGATTTAATTATAAAGATAAATAATCATTTTAATGACATTAAAAGAGATATATTGGATTATGCAGGAAAATCGATAAGAGAAAAATAAGCAATACTCAGATAAATTTTTCTACAAGAAAATATACACTGTAAAAGGTAAAATGTTAATTTTAACTTAGATGTATAGTGGACTTTCTGAGACACGCAAACATGTTAAAATTAACATTTTTGTGTTAAGTTTAACATTTTTGCATGTCTCAGAAATTCTATTATACGTCTTTAAGTTAAAATTAATGTTTTATTATTTATAATGTAATCTTCGATTTTAACGGAAGAATTTTGCTATGTGTAACTGGTGAAAAATCTTGGGACATTTTATATACTTATATATATGTTTATACTAGGTGTTATCAATGTCCTCATCACGACACCTCTATGGGTTGTGAACACGAGATTGAAGATGAGGGGCGTTGGATTAACTCTAGAAAGAAATAACAACGAATATGCTACTCTGTATGGTACGTTAGCATACATTCCGTATAAAAATTATATTCGCGAGTATTTATTTAGATAGTCGATATTGACTATTTAAATAACTTTTATTTTTAAATATTTTTGTATTTTCAACACTAGTGATTCCAATCACACTTTGTTTAAAAATCAAACAATACATATCGTATATATATAACGATATTAATGCAGTACAAACATATCTTTTATTTAATGCAATGTGTCAACAAATACATTCACAAAAACACGTTTGATATGTCGTTCATTTGCTTCATTACTTGAAACAATTATGATATTCAATAAACGTGACACTTCGTTATCAAAAAAAAATTAATCTCATAGAGATTATGATAAATTAGAAATTCGTAAATGAATGTATTATTAATGAAATAGTTAAAGAAATTATTTTTCTTCTTCAAAATTATCTCTCGCTATCATAAAAAATTTACTTATTAATATGCTGATCATTTATTATTCGAAAATATTTTTACATTAATTAACATATATTCATATACATATATATGTTAATTAAAGTAAAAATAGCCTCGAACGATAAATGCACAGAAAAAAAGATTTCTTTGAATTTAATAAATTTTATTGTATCCAAATAAATTTGTTATTTGGAATGGTCCAAACAAACCAATGTTTGAGTCAATAAGTGCGATTGTTTGAATTTGAAATATCTTTGTCTTAAATACATGATTCGTTTGAGCAGATAATGTCTATTTTCGGTATTCACGTGATCAAACTGCACAAACATAATTCATATAGCACATGCCACATGTTTTTCATTAAAAACGAAAAAGTTTTTAACAACTTTTAGTGATTTAGAGAAAGTAATTATTCATCATAATTCTTCATAATTCTTTGAATAGACAAATTAAATTATAAAATTAATAATGTCTTAAATTAAGAAAAACTTTCTATATTTATATTATATTAAGTATTAGGTTGTTTCTTTCTAATGTCATTGCGTTTTACAGATGGTCTCGTGCACATATGGAAGTATGAAGGTTTGAGACAGCTATGGGCGGGAACGTTGCCGAGTCTTGTACTTGTTACGAATCCGGCCATCCAATTTATGACATATGAGAGCATTAAGAGAAGAGTTTTGGCGTCTTTTGGGGATGTTCAACCACCGGCATGGATTTTCTTCATTATAGGAGCGATAGCGAAAGCGGTTGCCACGGTGATGACATATCCTTTACAACTTGTGCAAACGAAGTTGAGGGTATCGTATATTATTGACATTCTTAGTTTGGTTGAGAAAAAATAAAAAAAAATTTAAGAAAAAGTATTTTTTAATCACTAAACCATTGTAATTTCAGCATGGCTATAAATATCCTAATCTACCCCCAGACGCAGGCACGTTGCAAATACTATTTTACATTCTGAAGTAAGTATATAAAAAAATACTACATAAATATTGTAATCTATTTTACATTTTAGCTTTGCAATTTGTAAAGCTGCAATTTTACGCAGCGAAAGAAAGCTGGCTTTTTATTCTCACTTCAGTATTATATTAATGTAAGTATTTTTTGCTCGTAGGAAACAAGGAATAAGTGGCTTATTTAAAGGCATGGAGGCAAAACTTTTGCAGACTATCCTCACTGCCGCTTTGATGTTCCTAGCTTACGAGAAAATTGCACGATTTGTTTTCCGAATACTTTTGCATAAACCTAATCTCAGATAACGATTCGTTCCCAGTATTACGAAATAACCTTGAGTCTCAAATCTTAAATAAAAAATTTTGTACATTCCTGTATTTTATCTTCTTTGTATAATTTTATGGATAGATATAATAAAATGGTATTGAATTTATATACCATACATATATCATAAAATGCAATTAAATATTTCGATTTTCGATAATCGAGTTGGCGTCATTGAAATGTGCATAACTTTATATCGAGTCCGACGATAATGTGTGAAAAGAAAATGGTTAATTGGACAATAGAATTTGCAGAAGTATCTAAAAAAATGTGATCATACTTGTATAGGATACTGGCGAGTTCACGAAAATCGCAGCATCGCTTTCGGTCGCAATTTCGGTACAAGTTGAATAACTTGGTGTCGCCGCTTCTACAAACGCGTAAAGAAAATACGGGACAACAAGATGAAGATTCGAAATACGTAAATGTCACGGCATGTTGCGAACACTCCCGCAAGATCGATCGCAAGCGATCTGAGGCGATATTAAAATTTCTGACTAAACTTAAAATAGTCAAGTCATCGAAGAGTCAGGTGCAGTATTACGATTGCAAATCTGCGGCTTCCAAGTAAGTATTTGTTGTGCAAATAAAATATAATGCATGTGCATTTTCAATATGGAAAATAGAAACATAAGCAGAATACATTATAAATATCCTTACGTTCTTTTGTGAATAAGATGTTAATAACATTCCTTAAATATGAGAATATTTCTATAAGTGAGTTAAAAATATTTAAATTTAAGTAAAAAAAGTATTGTTTGATTACGAAATTGTTGTAATAAGTATTTCATACATTTACGATACTTCCGATGTATTATAATTTGTCATATTATTAGCTCGTTTTTAATAATGAGAAATTACAAATTAACAAAAAACTAATAAGTTTTTATAGACTCCTTAAATTAAAACAATTTATAAAAAACATAAAACATACAGTACAGGCAATAGGAGTCAACGCTGGTTGTCCAATTAGCGCAATTCTTCTTATTACTAAAAATATAAACCTTGACTTTGAACGTTTCCACTCATGGTTTTAATACTACGTTTACACTCGTTTATAATATTCACTAAATTTATTGAAAAGATAATTATATATAATAGTTTATTATATATAACAAAAAATAATTATATATAATAAAAACAATAACATTAATTAATAATAAAGATTGATTTTAAAGTTGTAGCATTAGTCATGCTGGAGATACGATGAATCCATCATTGCGTCGCAATACGTGTGAAAATGTGATCAATAAAGAACCGATTGGCTCGACGATTGCTGCAAAAAGTAAACTAGAACCGAAATCCCCTGTCATAGCCTATGATTATGAGGCAGCTATCAGTCAGCCTGACATTCCAATATGCTCAAATATTGATAATAACACGCTGAACCCAAGTTGGTCAGAGCAAAGTGATGAATTGTCAGCGCCGACCAAGAAAAGAAATTTTTATGTTCGTGGAAAAACGGGTTTGACTACTAAAAAGAAAGGAATTGTTTTTAAATCGAAGATACAAGCAAAAAAGGTTACTCACATTAAAAAAGAATTGATACCTTCCTCAAAAATTATTCGAAACGTTGAAAATTATATACAGAAAAATAATGACGACGGAGTTACTCCAAATTGCCATATGCCACTTAACCAAGTTTGTTTTCATATAATCTCTCTATTTTAAATTTACCGACAGTATAATTAATCTGTATAATATTCTAAAGAATTTGGTGCTTTCTCGAGATGTTCGAAAGTCGCCAGAAATCGCAAAAAATGGCAAAAATCTTACGAGCAAAGCTACCAGCGTTTTTCAAGAAAATTTTAATAAAATTAATAAAGATACAAAATCAGGTGCTCCTCAAAATATCAGTAAAATTCCACGAATAAAACCACCGATAAAACCGAATTCCTTTTTATCTACACATGGAGAATCTCCTGTTTATCCGGTATACATAGTTACATATTTATTTGTCTGAAGAGAGTATTAATGTGTTTTAGCACACTGAAAAAATGTTTGGTTAAATTAATTGAAATTCTGATTAAAAACAGACAAAAAACAAATTAAAATTTTCTCTTTAAATCAATTTTAATTGTGATAATTGGTATTCTCATTGATACAATAATCAGAATCTTCTAGTTTGTTTATTTTCACAGACATTTTTCTCAATGCATATCTTTAATTAATTTTAACTGACAGAGTGCAAAATTATCATTAAAAAATGAATTAAAATTTTCCACGGAATTTGTCGCAGTCAATGAAGAAGAAAAGATATTCGAGTACGTGAGTAAAATGAAAAGATAATTTCCATTTAGAAGATAACTGCACTGACAAATAATTATTAAATTTATGTTTATTTTTACATTCGTATATAAGAAATGTAATTAGATTTTCTTAGTTATAAATATTAGTAATTAGTTTTTGGAATAATTACTTATTTTTTATATTTTTTATATTTTTGTCCTATTTATTTTATTTTTCCTACTTATTTTCGTTTTATTGATTATTTTATCATTTAATATGTAATAATTAAATAATAAAAAACAGCTTGCTTGTATAATTTAAAATATAAAATCATTTAAAATATTAAATAATTTGTATTAAATGTATATGTAACTTTATCAGATTGGAAAATAGTTCGAAGAGGGAAACTTTATACGCACTGGACTATAAAAAAACCAAAAACATTTTACCAATCCTTAATGAAAACTCGTAAGTTGAATCTTTTAAAAAATGAATGTATTCATAATTCATAATTTCACGTTTTTATGTTGAAAAAGACTGCCAACAAGTGAAATTTTTTGCTTAGAAATTTTTGGTGTCCCGAGAAAAGTTCAGAGATGGATGCTGATGAAGAATTCGAGGGAGATCTGTTGACTTCGACAAAAGAATCGCCGGTCATTACAAGCGCTGGCGATGATCCGCGTTCTGCCACATTATTAAAAAGCTTGGCTCTAAAATGTGAATGTCGATCATGCAATGATCATAAATACGCTTCTACTGTTCGTACTGATCAACATACCGAGACCGAATCTTGGATCTCTCCAGAGATAGAAAGCACGAGAAAATGGTAGAAAAAGATTTCATTCATTTAAAAAAATGCAGAAAACTCGATTTTTAAATTATGTTTAAACTATTACATCTGTATGCTGTAATTTCTATGTAGGAAATCAATGAGACATCGTAAATTCATCGATGCGAGTTCCGAAGATTTGGACTTGTTACCGAATTATAATACTATTAATTATAACAAGACAAACGGGAAGAATAATGGGTCGAATTTTGCGGGTCATATTACGAAACAATCCTCAATAGTTAACCACACAAAAATGAAAACTTATCAGAAGACCAATTTTTTTAATGTCTTCTTCGATATTGTTTTTTGGCCTTTCGTTTTCCTTCGCGCAAAACAATAACTCATTACCATGTATAGAATTATAAATCCCTGTTACTTATTATTACGTAGCTTGTTGATACTTTGATGCATTGTATGTAATCTTAGAACATTAATACTGAAAGGGCCATACCATATCTGACCAATGTAATAAAAGTGTCTCCAACATCTATCTATCTTTGTCTGAAAGCTTGTTGCTGTGCGCTTGTGCGTGATTTATATATGAGCTTTGAACGTATACATATATATGTTTCAAGGCGAGAGCGGTGAGAATATAACACTCTTGACACTACATATAATAATAATCGACGCATGCGCATTACGGTGAAGTATTCAGACAAGGACAGATAGATATTGGAGCCATCGACAATCATCTATGATCCTTCCAGTATATATGTTCTAAGTATGTAATATTATGATAATGAGAACATGAACGAAAAACATCCTTGAAATTTATAAAAACATGGATTTAATGTATTATAAATCATTTCTAACATAACGCGTTTATTATTATAGAGTTATTATTGTTTATTTCTTTTCAATTTTTAATAAAACCAAATAAATTAAAAATAAAATAAAAATGATGCGTATAATACATTATACGGACATGTTATACAATAATTGATTGTTGCAAAATTATTAGTTGCAATAGCAGTTGACACGGAAAGTTTCAGTTGTGTTGCAGGGACCTTTCAATGTGTGTGTGTGTGTGTATGTGTGTGTCTCAATTATGTATCATCACGTTTGTAATATTTTTGAGATTATCTTCTTTGAAATCTTACAATTGCAATATTTCTGCAATTACATAGATTAAAACCTCATGCCTAAAATGTTCCTGTAACGTATAGTTTTTTCAACGTCATAAATGCAAAGTTTCTAAGAGATTTCTGAAACCTCCAATTAATAATTGCAGATATAGCTTTCACCAATCGAGCGATCATACTTACACACACTCACGAACGCACACTCGTATGCAACATAGATAAGATCTTTTAGTAAATAAGGTGCTTAGTGAGAGGAAGAAGAGAGAAGAAGTTACATGTTTGCAGAAGAACATCACAAAATATGTATATAGATTAACAAAAAATGTTTTATATCGGAGAGAGAGGGGGGAGGGGGGAAAGGAGGGAGGGAGGGAGAGAGAGGGGGGGAGAGAGAAGATTCTAAAAAATTTTATATACATTTACTTGCAGATGTTTTATCAGATGATTTTTGCGAAAAAAAAGGAATAGGAATATGTGACATCACTATCTAATACTATGTTAATTTTGGGGTCCATTTTGTCAGATTAATATTTGCTTATCTTACGAAGAAGTTAATTAAGGCAAAACTGTAAAGTATTATAAAAAACTGCTATATTATATATGATAGAAGACACTCTAATTTGTATTTATGTTTCTAAAATTTCATTTTTAGAAACAAATACAAATTATAAATAAAGACACTCTAATTTGTATTTATGTTTCTAAAATTTCATTTTTAGAAACAAATACAAATTATACAAATTACTTTTGTTTAAGTAATATTGCTAAAAAATAAAGCAGTATGATAATATTGGCGACCTTCCACTACAATAAAAATATTACAAAAGTAATATCACCTTAAGAATCTATGAATTTCGATTTGCGAATTCGTTGTAATTTTATATATAGCACAACTGCGCTTAGAATTGCGATAAAAAGTATTGCCAATGTAAGAGAGAAGATTGTATAAAATCCATTGTTATTCATGCATACTCCTTTCGCTTTTGCCATTGCTTCAACAGCTGTTTCTTCCACATTATCTAGGATTTGATTGGTTGCTGTGTTTAAATCATCTACCATGATTACTTTGAAACGTCGTCCAACACGAACCGCATCCGACAATGGTATCGAATTCGTCAAGTTATTCGAAAGTGGTGCATACATTAACGATCGACGACGTCTGCCTGGTTCGATTTGCTGAAATAAATTTTAAACATATAAATTAAAAAATGCAAAAATTTCTATTATTATTTATATTGTACAATAAGAAATTTAAAATATTTAGAACAATTTATTTAAAAGTAGTTTATATACTCTTGTATAAGAATTTGTTAACTTGTAAACAATTGATGTCTGTCATGCAAATATTAATTTAAGCGTATTAGACATGTAATTTTAACAAATATTGCATATATCCACACAACACAGTCCTCCGAAAAGTTCTTTTTTTGGGGGGAAAGAGTAAATATTTTTATATTTATATACTATCCATTTTTTCGCTTCATATTCTAGAAATCTGCTTTTATCTCTTTATAAAATTTACGGTTTGTAATGCCACGTCTAATTGGTGGAAATATATTAACAATAAGCCACCCCGTTATGCATAAAAAGCTTCACCTTTCTAATTACATCATGCTAGGGACGTCTTTAGAACATAGAACGTCCTCTAGATGTCTTCCCTTGGAGAAATGCGTTGTCTAAATAATCATATCTGAATCATATTTTAATTGACTTTTGTAGCTTACTTGATTTGCTTCCGGACAAGGTACACAATTAGTTTTACATAATTCAACATTACATTCGATGATTAGACCCAAAACATCAGGGAATTTGAAGGCTTGGAAGAATGCATAAGCAATAATAGAAGCGCCTGTATTGGCGGTATCCTTTGTCTTTTGAAAGGCACCAAACAGTTTCGGTTTTAAAGTGCAGCCTCTTTCGTCGGTGAGCTGCAACATATTGGTTGAGGCTTCGTCTCGCGCCGAGCAATCACGCACCTTAAAAATAATTATAAATGTTTGTTTAATTTATATTATTCGAAATCTAGAGTATACAATTATATAAAATAAACAATAAATATTACAAATATAAATGTAAAATTTATATTGTGCTACAAATACAAATAAAATATGTTAATTGTTAGCAACTTTTTTAGATGTTATATAAAATAATTATACATATTAATACTATTTATTTTTTCATAATATTGAAACGAACATAAATTATTATTATGTATGTTTATGATTGTTTCTGAAAAACACCTGAAGATCGAAATCAGGATCGCCTTCCACAGAGATTACCAAAGTCATTGTTTCTCCAATTTGTACGAGTCCATTAGCTGTAGGTGCAAAAGGTCCTCTACCAATTTGAATATCCAGTTTTGTTGTCGCAGTATCACCATTAAAGGCAATGATCTCCTGGTTTAATATATCTACTGAAAGATTCATCCTTAAAGCTTTATTGATGTTTCCTTCCCAGAGACATCGTACTCTTCGAACTGTATCCCAGACTTCTTGTATACTCGGTTCATTCTTTAGCAATAAGAATTTTTTATTTTAATATTCGACATAATTATAAGCGATAATTTTACAAAATAACGAGAGAAATCCCAAAAGTATTCATTGAGTTTTTCGATCACAATTTTTTTGGTGATTCTTGAGGACAAAAAAAATATACGCATCGCGGCGTTTATCAATATATATTTTTGTTTTTAAGATACACATTTAAAAAAATTCAAAATATTGAACGGCAAATTGGGTTTGCATTCATGTTTATTTATTAAGTTAGCATGTCAACATAAGCACAATCAAATGTAAAATGTAAAGAGGATTCAGTGTTCTTTATGTGCTAATTTATTGCTCTATTCGTGATTTTATTACTCTAACCGTTTAGCAAGAAATCAGTTTTATACTAACTTTTAAAAAAGTTATACTGTCTTAAAAATGATAACGATAATAATAATAAACGCTTATACTATAATTAATATTAATTATATGCTTTTAATATACTCTAGTTTTTAAATTTCGATGTGCTATCCCTAACGCTTAAAACAATTTCAAAACATTTGTTATACACATTTTTTGTACATACAAAAGAAAATTACTAAATTAGCACATAAGTAGCACTAAATTATAATGTAAATATTTTTCTTATATCTTTATTATTTTTGATATTCGATACTAACTTGTAATACGAGAACATTTTCCAAATACGCTTGACCAGCAGGACTTGCGAAATCGTTGAGGAATTGAGTACCGCAAGAGTCTAGATTTACAGTGAAAGAGTACCGCGCTGAGCCAGAATTCTGTTTTACGTAGACACATTCTGGGTTTAAATAATATCCCTAAAATTGGATATTAATATGTTATTGTTGATGATTTTTTGCGCAATAGATTTTGTTTCGCGCTTACCTTAGAATAAATAATGCCGTCGAAAACACGATTAAATTCAATATTGATCGTCATCATTGTCTTACTGCACTCGACATTAATGCTATGAATATGGGGAGGATGATTGAAATCATTGTCAGTTTGAGTTTCTGTGGGCGATAAAATTTATAAATTACCGTTTCGTATATCTTATGTATTATATTATATGTGTGGTAAGAGATACATACCTCCAATGTCAGTACTTGAGAAAAAATTAGTTTCAGGAATTCGAGAATTTGCGTGTGCAGTTGGTACATTAGAAACAGTACCTATGCCAACTTTACTTTGCGTAGTAGAAGGAGACAATGGTCTAGTAACTGTCAAGGGTGGAAATGAAGGTCCTGAGGATTCGAATAATCCTACAGATCCTGCGAGTCCTGAGAAATTTAAAGGTTTTGAGAATCCTAGGAATCCTGAGGATTCTGGGAATACTGAAGGAACTTCTAACGGTCTTAACAATCCTGAAGATTCTGAGGGTCTTGAAACTCCTGTTAATCCTAATGGTTTTGACGATACTGAAGGTCTTAAAAATTCTGTGAATCCTGAGGATCCTAATGTGGATCCTGGTGCTGAAGGTCCTAAGAATTGTGAGGTGCTTGAGAGTCCCGAGAATTGTAAAGGTCTTGAAGACTGGCTTAAAAGTTCTAAGGCATGGCTACCCGTTGCAATCTGGATATTCTAAATGTAATAATTTAATGTATTTAATTGTGTATATTGCATATGTATACAAGATTAATTTGATGCACTATTATACATATCTAATATAGTAATATAATACTTACAGGATTTACAAAAGCGTCCGCGCTAAATCTAACAACATTTACATTTTCAGTATCCGAAATTTCATCGGTTGGTTTCGTAATAACCAATTGTTTGCCAGCCTTGGAGGCCGACTGAGACGATTTTGGACCAGGCAATGAGAATATTAGAGTTTGCGGTGTTACGCAAGTCGGTGACGATTTCGAACAATTTAGTGGCAAAAGAACCTGTTGCGAAAGTTGATTTGACTGAGGATTGTAGAATGTAGAACCATTAAAACTTTGTGGTACATATATTGAGGATTGTTGACTATTCGATATTGCTGAATATGGTATAGATAAAGGTTGTCCAGATGTTGAGAAATTAATATTTAACGGAGTGTAGATTGATGGTCGAATAGTATAGTTTTCTTCGTCCCTTTTCTGAGAGTTTTTAACTTGGAAGGCATGCTTTTCGAGTGGTTGTTGGTTGCTGAAGGATGACGAGTATGTATTTGGATCCGACTGCTGATGAACTGTAAAAATATATTAACTCATCAAAAGTGAGTGCCCATCGTAATGAATTCCTTAATTTAAATGAATATAAGAGGAAATGATATCAATAAAAAATTTTATAAACTATTTCAATATTATTTTTTTTTAACAATTATTTGTACAATAGATGCCTTCTACATAAAAAAAATGTTTTTTGTCTGTTATTTATTATTTTATAGTAAAAACAAAATATTAAATAAAGATAAAATATTATAAAGAAATGTATATGGATTAGAGTTATTCGTTTAAAGTAATTCTTTTTCTGTCATAATTGTGTGAAGATTTGTACCTAATAATTAGAACAAAATATTGCCCAACTAGTCTGGCTGTATCTTAGTTTCAACGTCAGTAATCTCTGAATAACAAAATTATGATTTTTTTGTTCTATGCGTTTTGATTGTAAATATAGAAACGTATTAATACTTGAAATACTTTTGGTTTCAGGAATTCCTCCGGATCCTGAGACTTTTAAAGATCTTGAGGGTTTCGAGAATTCTGAGAGTCTTGATGATCCAAACGGTCCTGAGGGTTGTGAAAGTTCTTCCGAAGATCCTGAAAATTCTGAAGCTCGTAAGGATCGTCCTGGCGGTCCTGAAGAGGTTTTTCTTGAAGAGGTTGACGAAGTATCACTCGTATGTACGATTGTCTACATATGATAATTTAATTGATTATATTGCATGTATGGCATGTTCGAGATTAAGCGCAGCATTATATATATATATATTTAATGCAATACTTACACCATTTAAAATCAAATCCGCCTTAATTCCGACATAACCATTATTCTCTTGAAAGCTGATTCCACCTACACCCACCATTCCAGCATTCTGTTTACCAGATCTGGAGATCTGGATGGCACGATGCGGCCTTACATTTTTCGATGAGAAAAGCGGAGGTTGTGGCGATAAGTGAGTGAACGACGATTTCGAGATATTTAGAGGGGAAAAAGTCGACGAGACCTGATTCAATTGATGATTATATGATGTGGAGCTTCTAAAATTTTGCGGTATACACATTGAGAAATATTGTTGGCTATTTGGTTTTGGGGTAGAATATGAAAATTGCTCGCAAGCCGAGTAACTGATCTTCGGTGGAGTATAAAGTCGTGACGGCGGTTCCACACGGTAGTTCGATATGTCATTCTGTTGAGAGTTTATTCTTCTCTGAAAGGTTTGAAATTTGTCGAGTGATTTTTGTTGCGTACTAAAAATCGGCACGTACGTACTGGAATTTGATTGGGAGCGAACTGTAAAAATACGAATATTTTACTTGTTAAACAACTTTATTTTAATGATCTTCATAAATATAAGGATTAATGAAAAGTGTCGCAAATACTGTATATTGTAAGTTATTTCTTAGATATTATATCACTTAAATATAATAATTTTTCTACTCAAAAATATTTGACTTACTATTTATAATATACGAATTAAAATATTACATAAATTTAAAAATGAAGAAATAAATTTGATAAACAATTGAAATAAAAAATTGCCAAAAATTTACTTATGTTATTTTTTTATTAAAACTGACAATAATATCATCGTCAACTTTGACTATTTTTACATATAACAGTTTTATAAATTTATTTTTTAAAAACAGCTTAAAAAATAGCAAAAGAAAGTAATCTTAAGAAGATAGCTTTAAGAATTAATGAAGAATGCATTGATTATTAATTATTTATGACAAACATTGATTTATATTGTTGGTTAGACTATTAAAATCAATCTCAGTGTCGAACGTAAAGCATCTTATGTAACATTCAAATATCGCGATAAGATGATTGATTAATTGTATGGCGAGTTAGGAAAAATAATTTTATACATTTAATGTTTAAATTAATGCGACGATGTTGGCTGTGCATTGTCCCAACTTTTTTGCATCCAAAATTTTAATATACATTTGTGATATGCGATAACTGAATTGTTAAACTATTAAGCGTGATTGATTAATTAATGAATTTTAAATAATTTCAAATGAATAAATTTATATTTAATATCATAACAATTGTACCAGTTCTTTTTTCTTGGTTGCGCTTAAAGAAGAGTTGAGTGATCAATAAATTCTTTCAATTTTGAATTAATCTTACCGGAATTTGTATTCGCGGTTCTCTTGAAGATTGTGCGACCGTTAAAATCCTGGCTGCATAACACTGTACCCAAAAGAGTCGTGAAAACAATCACTAAGATAAACTTCATCTCTAGAATGTAAATTTTATTTTAGTTCACAACTAAATCCTTTTTTCAATTTCAGCAATCACGATTTAGGTTTTTAAATGGCATTATTTATTAATAATCAATGTTAAATGTAATAATATTAAAAATAAAAACTTTAAGTTAATTTGTATATAGAAAGCCTTTTTTTTTATATTAAACTTATTTTTTAATAAATCTTCTATAAAATTCTCAATATTAATATATTTTATTTATTAATATACTTATATTTAGTTTTAGCGAGTACTGAAAATTTATAATTCACGTTACATATATATTATCAATTTTTAATATTGGCAGTCACTATCGGAATGCAATCTAAGATATAAAGTATGTGTCCACATTTTTTTTATTTAAATAATATATTTTTGTCAATCAAAAATAATGCAATTTATTGAATAGATACGGAGATAACAAGGAACTTAAAGTAACGATACAAGTAATGGTTGAATTCGTTACCGTTACTGTAAAATTGTAACAACGTTACTGTTAGCAGATAAAAAACAAGTAATGCTTAAATGTTACTAAAAAAAGTAATGATAATGGTAACGAAGTTACAAGTAATGCATTAGTTCCTAACTCTGGAAACACAATTACCTTATGCAACCATATTCGATGTTGTGATGATCAAGTGTCATCAGTGCAGCTGAATGTAAGAATATTAAAATATATTTAAAAATAATTAGCTGTAGATAACTCATAACGTCGGTTTCTTCATCGAAAGAAAAACCATTAATGGCCATATTTGATATTTATGACTATATAATAGCAGCTTTTGGCATTTGATGTCATCGTGTAGATGAGATAACTTATGGTAAGAAAAGAAAGGAGAATATATGCAAGCGTTAATTCGTATTTTAACATCTCTTCGCATTCTAAATGATGTATACTGATTTTATAAGTATGATGGTTGACAGTTATAGAGATTCCTGTTCACAAATTATATATACCTATAGCTACAAGGTACACGTTTTTAGACACGATATTCTTTTAGGTATTCTTTTTGAGTTTCTGAATACGCGAGATGTGTAAAGAGTGATTACTTTAGCGCAATCAATTCCATTGCAAATCTCAAAAGTAGCATTTTCGACAAATCATAAATATTTAACATGTAATCTGGAGACACGGTAGTGTCTTGACGCTAGACCAAGCACAGCGACACTGCCATGCCTCCTTTACGAGCCAGTTATAAGTTATAATTGTCGGCAGAATAATTAAGATTTCGAATCGCATACGTACACACACACATAAATAAAATTTGATCGTAAGAAAATAAGAATAAAGATTATTTTGATATATAACGAATGCACTAACTGTGAGAATTAGTTTAACAAGTTGTAGCTGATTGGGTAATTGTCTAAGATCTCGCAAAATTAATCATAATAGAATAAAGAAAAAAAAAGACACTATGAGCAATTATTTCGATAAGTTTTTAGCGGAAAATTTTGTGTGTAATAACGTTTATTCTTTTAACTGTAAAAAATATTTCTTTTTTAAACTAGTTTGTTTCCTATGTCGTTTACTTTTTCTCCCATATAATTTATATAACAATATTTCATTAGAATAGATTATGCACTGCTAAATTTTATTAGAATAGATTATGCACTGCTAAATTATACCCTCTGATGTATCTTATAATCTAAGAGTATCTAGTTGAGGTAATTTATAAACACGAGTACTTAATTTTATATTTTTGGTCATTCAATTAGTGTTTTCTTTCTTAAAAATTCTTTCATGGTGATCAATATTTGCGGGATCGCCAAACTTTTTTTTAATACGTTTGAATACTTATTCACACTTCACTATAATCCCAATTTTTTGTGAAACAAAAAATTCATTTATCACATATAAAAATATAAAGAAATACTTTTTTAACTTATTTAATTTAATTAATATATTTGAGGTTACTTAATAAATAAACTTTAATTTCGATTTATATATCAGTTTATAAATCAATTATTACATTAGAATAATTACTGTAATATGATAATTGCAAAAGTGATACCATTGATAAATAATTATTGCTCTTTTGCAATATCATAAAATACATAAACATCTTGCACGATTATTCATCCGTTTAACGAATCTTTCAGTACCTAGAAGTATAAACATCACTATTTAAAATCTTATAATCATTCTTCATTAATCGAACATTGTATTTGCAAAAAATCATTGAGTATTCTCGCGCAGATACTTTCAATTTTGTCTGCACTAATTCGTTGAAACCGAACTGTGATCTAATGTAGCTTCACTTTTAATTGCTATACATCCACATGTTCAATGCTTTATCGCATCAATAGAATTAAAAATCGAGAAATCACAATTAGAAAATCCCAACAGTAGGAACTATGCTTAAATAAGGAGAAAAGTAATAGTTACCATGCCGGTTAGAAATACATTGATCGATTGATATGTATAGTTAAATATACTCAAGCCATGTCGTATTAGGAAAAATATTATGGAAAATGTCTTCATTCATTCGAAGATTATTTCTCTCACCTAAAATTAATTAAAGGTACGAAGTCAAAGATTTTACTAGAGAATTTATGTACTGTGCATTGCACAACTCTTTGTGTTCTTATGTGTATATTCCTAGGTTTGTTTCTTAATACATATAAATTATGAATGAACTTTCACTTTTACATGCGATAATCTTAATTCATCATTATTCCTTATTTAGGAATATAAATAAGATGTACATTGCGTCAATATCGAGGATCATTAATCATTATTGTATTTTAATACATGCAACAATGACATAATTTTTGATATATGTCCAAAAGGTTAAAATCTTGTCATTTTTATAGATTTGTGCATTTTATTTATTCGGAAATGATAGAGCCCCTAAGCATATGTAGTATTCTTTTTTTTTTCATGCGTTTCGTAAAATCTAATCCTCGATAAATGTCATGAAGCACGTGAAACGAAGATCTCTGATAATTATTTTTTCTTTTGTATCTGTAGCGTCAAAGTCACTCATGTAGAAACCATGCAAAATAGTTTTACAAAAAAAAATGTTATTTTATTGTACAAATAAAATGATTTTGCTATTGTGCAAATAAATAAACAATTTATCTTTATACCACATGAAAAATGGAAAATAAAATTTCTAGTTTTCTTTATTTAGTATGTCTTTATATACATAAAGACACATACACATAAACATACACATGCATACAGGCGTGCGCGCACACGCGCACACGCACAAACATGTATGTATAAAATTTATTGAAGCATCAATGAAAATATACATTTATATTATTTTCTAATATAATTGCTTTATTTTATAACGCATTTAATTCATTGTTAAAAAAGCTTCGTTGCACCTTAAGAGAAAATAGTTATTTTTCGATAGTTTGTAACACACTTCTTTTGGTCGACGACAAATCAACGACTTCTGAAGACATTCTTGAATAAAGCAAACAGTAATTTTTGGGAATGAATGATAACAATCTTTAATCCACTCAAAGATGTTTTAAATGATCGTTGATTTGCCTGATTGAAATGTGAAAGAAGTAGTAGATGTGGAGCTGAGAGACTAATAAAAACACTTTTTTCTAATGGTAAATAAAGCTTATGCATCAATGAACAAAGTGCATTAAACAGCAAGAAAATTGTGCAGACAAATATAAATTTCTATAAGTAATTTAATAAATTTAATTTACAAATATATTTCAAATAATTATTGATTTATTCTTATATGTATATGAGTGTCATATAATAATAACATTTTCATGTATATGTAGGGTGCCCTGTAAAGACCCGAACAACATTTAAGGGGAGATTCCTGAGATCATTTTGAAACGTAAATTCTAATATTAAAATTTTAATAATATTGTTATTACATAAAAATAAAAATCTAAGTAAAGGGCATATAAGAGTCAATGATCAAAAAGACTTAAATATAAAATATAAAATATAAAATATTAAATATTGTTATTATTCTTATTTTCTCCGGATTCCTTTAATAAAATGTTTAAAGTGCATTTGAATGAGTTTAAATTGAATATTAACAATAGTACGTAATTCTATATAAAGAGCTACTACTTTCTGCTAATTATGATATGAAATTGATAGCAGATTGCTCAAAGAAATCAAAATTGCTCAATCCGATTTTACTACGTGTGACCAGATTGTTCAAGATAAGTCAGTTTTCGAGTTTAGTATTTTGCGTTGTGCCGCCCCTGAGCGCGTCAACTTTAGACGATAAGATTCGTTAATTTTGAACGCTTATAATTCAAAAGTTATTATAGCCTCAACATTTTGGTATTAGAATTTTTGTCTCAAAATGATCTCAGAAATCTCCCCTTAAGCGTTGTTCGGGTTTTTACGGGATTCCCTATATACATATTTTAAATTTATATTTAATTTAATAAATATTTTATATAAATAAATTACCTATTGATGAAATTCTTTCCGTAGGAAGTGATTATCACAAGATGCTAAAGTTGATTTTCCGTCACGATATGGTTAGAAGACTTGCGTTATGTGCTCCTACGAAGAAGGTAAGAGTGAATAGTTATAAACATCATCATTTCAGCTTTATATAGATATTGTACTCCCTTATCTATAGGCTATCCACAAAACACGATTCGTGCCATCACTTTCACTATATGTCTTTCGTGATTTTATCTGCTGGATGACCTGTCGACGAAATTAAATGCATTAGACAAAAATATTTTGTTTTATAAAAAATATAAGAAAGATATTTTATCTTATATGAAGGTAAAAATATATATGTGTCTCAATATATAAAAATCTAAAAGTATATGCATTATTAAATATAAAGTTAGTTGCTTAAAAATAAATATAAAATTGATTTAATTTGCTAAGTGCAATGTATATCATTGGAAAAAATCTATGTCTAAAAAGAAAACACTTTTGAAAATACTAATTATTCTTCGTTTGCTATATAACAGCTACAGCAACGACACAACTAAAAAACACAATGTTTTCCATAAAAAATTTTTATGTTTTAAAATTTTCTAATATTAATTATGGAATGCAATTTTATAATAATTATCAAGAGCTCGCTTTTTCTCATATCCGTTAAATATTGATTAACATGACCTCCCGGGAAAAAATATTTATATACAATTGTATAAAATTATATATAATTATATAAAAAATTGACATATTTTATATACAATTAAATATAATTATATATAAAATATGT